GAGCCCTCGGCGCAGCCGCCACAGGCAGGGCTGAGCCCCAGGCGCCCCACTGCGGGCAGGGAGTCGTTGCCCCCGTCCTCCGCTGGCCTTCCCTCCGCTTCCCGTTCCCCCCAGTGTTGCCCCGGGCAACAGCGCCTGCCGCCGGCGGCCCGAAACTCACCTACCTAGAACCTGACAAGCAGGAGCCCCTCAGACCCGGGAGCCAGTCGCCACCCCGCGTCACGGGGGCCGCCACAACCAATGGGCGCCGCTGTCACGAAGCTCCGCGGCCAATCCGGCTGCACTCCGGTCTCCGGGCACCCTCGAGGTCTCAGCCAATGGGCACCTGCCGAAGGCGGGCGCTGCCTCACGACCCCCAACTCCCTCTTCCACCACCTCCCAGGAGGCGGGGCGCGGCCGATTGGCCCGGGACCCGGAGGGGTGGGACTCGGGCGCCGGGCCGGGTGGGTATGCAGGGACCCGGGGCTGCGGGCGTGGCGAGGGGAGGAGTGGAGCTGTGGCCGCCGCCCTGTGGGCCGGCTCCTTGGTTCGGGTGGGGTCACCAGGTCCTCCTGCTGGCGCTGCTCTCCTCGTCCCTGCAACTCGCTCTTCTCCCGCCGGCGTCCACGGCTGCCGGGGTGGGAGTGAGGGCAGGATGCGGCGGGAGGCGGACGGCGGCGTCACAGGAAACTTTGGGAGGCTCGCCTGGCCGCGGCCGGGAAGTGGCCGGGCCGGGGGTGATAAGCTGGGGCCGCCTGGAAGGGACTACCCAGCGGGTCGGCAGCCGGAAAGGAATTCGGAGGGTGGGGGCGGAGGCGTGATTAAAATGTTAAGTGTGCCCGCAGGGTGCTAGGCGATCCCGGGAGCTGAAATCTCCAGGAACGGAAGCCGCTTTGGAGCGCGGACCCTAAATACGCACTTTTCACCCTCAAAATCAGTCACTTTTCGTGTATTTCTTACCTGCGTCTATTGTAACGTTGATTCCTTTAGAATAGTTTTCAGCTTCTCCACTGGACCCTGATTGCCTTACAGGCGGGAACTGCCTCTATTGCCTGAGACCCCTTTTTTAATAAAGTCTAGATAGACAATCAATGCTGGTGTTGTAATGGGTGCTGTGAAAAAGCCTAGGGCAGGTTCTGTGAGTAATGCCCCGTAGTAAGTCCTTACCTCCTGCTGAGTCTAGAATGTGAAGAACCGAAGTTGGTTTGCTCCTCCAGTGAGCGCTGTTTCTGAAGCGTCATTCACCAAAAGAATTTGGTGGAAAATGAGTAATATGAGCAAAACAAAGATAACTAGCTGATCTGTAACAATATGATAGGTGTTATTAGTCACTATTTCGGGGTGTGTTTCTGTACCCGACTTTTTAAGGCATTCTATCGTTCAATGCCTTGGTTGAACCACATTCTTCGGCTGGAACAAATAAATTCTAAGGTCAACCCTATCTCCACCTTCCCCATTCAAAACTTTTTTATTACCTGGGAGTCAACGAAATATGAATATTTTTTATAAACAAATTTACTTTCTAAACAGTTACTTATTTTACTATAGTGAACAGCCCTACGCATAGAAAAACAGATTTTAAGTGAGACTTTTCTTGTCCCCTTTAAAGAAACAAAGTCTGTAAAGACAAAAAAAAAAAACTGTTTTCATTGTGTTATGAGGGTTTTGATTGTTTATTTGGATTTCTTTTAAGCCTAAGAGACCTTGTATTTTACAGATGAGAAAGGTTAAGTAACACTTCAAGGTTACACATAACCAGTTAGAAGCAAAATGTAAAGAAAAAAAAATTTAAATCAGAAGTTGAATTCTTCCAGTTAAAGATGGAGGAAGGGATTTTCCTTTCTTAGAGCATTTGCCTTAGAAAACTTGTAATTGTTGAGTACTTTCTCATCGCTTTGAAATGTGTATAAGTTATTTGGAGACTTAGATAGGTCTCTGTCAGCTAGTATTTTGTTAGCTTTACATCCCAAAAATATCTTTTTCAAGGACCTCAGCTCTATCTCTTTGAAATGCAAACATCGAGAGACATAGCAGCCATGAATGGATAAAGAAGATGTTGTGGATACATGTGTATACAGGATGGAATATTATTCAACTGTTAAAAAGGATGAAATCTTGCCATTCCAACAACATGGATGGACCTTGAGGGCATTATGCCAAGTAAAATAAGTCAGACAGAGAAAGACAAATACCATATAATTTCCCTATTATGTGGAATTAAAAAAAAAAAAGCTCAAAGATACAAAGGACAGATAGGACAGATGGGAAGTTGCCAGACAAGGGGTGGGGAGTGGGTAAAATGGTGAAGGTGGTAAAAGGGTACAACTTCCATACTTCCATTTAAATAAGTCATGGGAATATAATGTACAGCATGATGACTGTAGTTAATAATACTGTATTATATATTTGAAAGGTCCTAAGAAAGTAGATCTTAAGTTCTTATCACAAGAAAAAAAATTTGTAACTATATATTATGACAGATGTTAACGACCTATTGTGGTGATCACTTAGAAATACATACAAATATGGAATGACGTTGTACACTTGACACTAATGTAATATTATATGTCAACTGTACCTCAAACAAAAGAAAGAGAGAGATAGAACCCCTCTCTCCCAGTTTCTATGGGAGAGCAGATGCCTAACTTCAGTGGGCAAATTGCTCCAAGTTGTATAACTACCTTCTGTCATGAAGATGAGAAGTTTGTATTTTCTGTGCATAAAGTTAATTAGCTAAAGCTGATGGTCACTCCAACTATCAAGTAAACTTAACATGAGTTATGTGTACAGTGTTATCAAGGCCTATTCCTTAATGACTAGTAATCGTTTATCTTGAAAACTTATGTAATGGCTTGTATCTGCTTGGCTGAATACAAAGGTGAGATTGCTTTCTGTCTTTGCAATCTCTTTGTTGATTGCCTGTAATTTACATCACATTCTGGTCTAATGTTTATCATAAGAAAAATGTTGTGGAGAGAATTTCTGGGTTAGGAGATTTTGTTTTCAATTGTATTTCCCCAAAAATACCCATGCCCAAAATACTGAGACTATGAAGTTAAGGAAAGAAATTAGTGTCTAGTTTTTAACTTGTTCTTGAAAATTACCACACATTAAGTGAGAACTTATCACTGAACTACAAATACATTTTAATAGAGTCAGAAATTATAATAAAGTTAATGTTTAGTATATATTTCATAGTGACTTTTAACTATACTAAACAAACTAAACCTATATGAATAAACCTCTTAAAATAGAAAGGAAATTAATTTTCTGTGACTATTAAATGTTGTGGTATAAGTCAAGATAATACGAATGAAATCAATGTTTATGTATTAAATGGTTAGACAAAGCTAAAATACAGCTTTGGGGATTGCTTCAACTTGGCATATTTTTTCCAAGAACCCTAGGACCTCTACCTTTATACAAAGAAAATCTAAATCTGGAAAGATGTGGTTGGTGAATTTGTTAGTACAGATTTGCAGAAAGTGGGTTTAAATAAAAGGCTGGTGTGGAAAATAGAACTATTTGATGTACATTGTGTGTGTGTGTGTGTGTGTGTCTGTGTGTGTGCATTTGTGTGAGTCTTAAGGAACTCCCATCTCTGAAAACAGAATCTTTCCAGTTCTTCAGCAGTGCTCTCAGTTCTCACCTATTCACTCAAACTTAAAAACTGCTTGCCATATGCCAAGCATTGTGCTAAGAAATGCTATTTGAGTGAATGTACTTGAAGTAAATGAATATGGCAATAATCTATGCTGCATTTTCCAAACTAAAAAAACAATTATAGCAAAGCCAGTTTAAGGTGTTCCCTCAGATAAAACTATCACTTTGCATTGCAACACATTTAACAGACACTTTGTTTCACTTGATTTCAGATATGCTGTGTAAATTTACATCTTGTAAATGTAGAGAGAGGATGGAAGAATAAAGGAAAATAATTTCCTGTCTAGATGATCCATGGGCTTCATAAAATTCTAGACACCCACAAAGAGCCTAAGGGATGTGTATCTCAGTTGAAGTTGTTAGCATAAGACTTAAGAGATTCATTTCCTATTGTTAAAATTTAGATCTGTACCAGGTACTACCATGACTTTAGAAATGCCACAGTACTGCCTACCTATAGATAAGTTTCTGTATATATTCTATTTTACCAAATACCAATTTTTGACTATTCTAATAACATTACTTACCTGGACAAATGAATACAATAACATGAATGTCAAATTTTAAGCAATTAGTAAAAAATGATTTTACCCTATCTTTCCATCCTCCAACCTCCTCCCCCATTTACCTGTGTAATTTTGTCTCATAAAAGGCTTCAAGAGAAACACTGGCCATGTGCTATCTTAGTTCAACAGCCTCCATATCTATCCTTCCCTCTTTTCCTTAATTTGTGTCTCTTCTTTTCCTCCTTTCCACCAGCTCCTTTGCTTTATGCTCTCTGTAATCCACAGTTTATACTGAACCACTTGCACATACCACTCCCAAAATAGAGAGAATGATAAGACATACAATCTGGAAATCATATCTATCTATTCTGGACATAAATCAGTGTCTGTTTTCAGTAAATATAAATTTCTTTGATTTTGAAAATTGTCCTCTTGAATGAATACTGTCACTAGAGATCACATTTGTGTGAAATTTTCTTTAGGACTTTTTTTTTCTGGCTTTCTAAATTTCAATTTTTCAAGATGGCTATGTGGCTTTCTTTATTTTACAGATCTATATAATGAAAATAATGGTAGGGAAAGAAGGGAAGAAAGGAAGATGAAATAGAGTTGGAGGAGGAGGACTTCTAATCTGCCTGCAAATTGGATGTCACATCCATTAACACCATCTCACAACCATCCCTCCCAGCAAGAGACTGCCTGTCCCCCTAGCACTCCGGTACTGGTCCCCCTGCTTCCCTGACCTTTTGCTCACCATGGAGAAATACTCCCGCCGACATTCTCAGTCAAGACATGCCCTCTCCAGAATGCCCCTGGATCACTGACCTGTCCCTTTTTAAGTCATCATTTTCTTAGAAGTTACCTGTCCTTTTCCTCATTCCCTTATTCCTGGGTCACTGGACCTTCAAAGATAACTGTCAAATGTGTGCCATGGGAGAGTGCCAGAGTAATCTCTAAATGTGGGTTAATGCACTAGCATCATCAGAATCACCTGAGAATCTTTTCAAAAATACAGACTTCTAGCTTTACCCCCCAGTGATTCTGACTTGGAAAGATTCTGTCTAGAAAGAGTTCAGAAAATCTGTGTTTGGAAAAAAAAAAAACAGTGAATCTAGTCAACACGTGGGTGGAACACG